ATCAAACACCTGCCAGTACTTAACAGCTAGCATTAATTTTTTAACTTTATTTGTGTTTATTTGGCTGTGCTGGGCCTTCATCATGGCATGTGGGATCTAGTTCCCTGACCAGGGGTCAAACCCAGGTCCCCTGCGTTGGGAGCAGGCATCCCACTCACTAGACCCCCAGGGAAGTCCCAACAACTAGCATTTAAATGTCCTGTAGCATCAGAGGAAAAATGCCCCCACCTGAGTGCCCTCGTGAGGCTGAGGCCTCAGCTGGGTCTTACATCTGTGACGCGGGTCAGGACAAGCTGAATTACTGGCCCTCAGGTCCAGCCATGTTAGATGAGGGGCAGCAAGCTATACAGCTGACATTTCAAGAACCCATGAAGCAGTGGGATGTGTTATGCTTGTTTTTTATTTAGAATTATAAGAGAAACATTTTTTAAATAAACCCTTAAATCCTTCTCCATTAATGTGATTTAAATAATGAACTTATTAAATCGGCTTGTTTACATATCCTCAACTGTAGAAAACATGCAATTTTTTTGTTTGTTTACACCATCAAATCCAATCAAGCCAAACAAGATGGTTAACTGAAGTGATTAATGATCAGCTGCATTGGCTGATAGCTTTAAATTTAGACTGTGTTACTGATGTCAGGGTTGATTAGTTCTCTATCTAAAACTGATGCTATTAAAAGCTTTGAGCAATTTAGATGTAGTCATTGACTAAAGATCCAGCGGGTGAGAGAAATCCCATCAGGATGAATTCTGCATTCACATGTGCACAGACGCTGAAGAAAAGGCAGGCCTTTACTGGAGGGGCAGGAAGGAAGCCTGGGATGCAAGAGGGGCAGCCAGCTGGCATCAGGTAAAGAGGCTCAGAATTTCAGACACACTCGTCTCCACCCAAGGAGTCCTAGGGGGCATGTGGACATGAACACTGATCATTTCCATCCCAGCAGTTTTGAAGAAGGAAAAGGGGAGCAAGAGGTTAAGGTGGTCCCATGCTGTAGCTGAGCTTCCCAGATAGCACTAGTGGTAAAGAACTCGCCTGCCAGTGTAGCAGGCATAAGGAGGTTTGATTCCTGGGTCTGGAAGATACCCTGGAGGAGGAAATGGCAATCACGCCAGTATTCTTAGGTCACCTCTCCCACTCTAAGGGGAGGTGGGGTGGTGTGTTATTTACAATCCACCTGAGACTCTTATTTTTGGGCTTCCCTGGTGGCTCAGCTGGTAAAGAATCCACCTGCAATTCGGGAGACCTGGATTCGATCCCTGGGATGGAAGATCCCCTGGAGAGGGAATGGCTACCCACTCCAGTATCCTGGCCTGGAGAATTCCATGTACTGTACCGTCCATGGGGTCACAAAGAGTCAGACACAAGTGAGTAACTCACTTTCACCAGTATTCTTGCCTGGGGAAATCACACGGACGAGGAGCCTGGTGCGCTACAGTCCATGGGGTCACAAGGAGTTGGACACAACTGAAGCAGCTTAGCACATGAACACGTTTTAGTAACTCCTCTAGCAGGGAACCCACAGGGGAATCATAGTAGTCAGTGCAGGAGACCAACACATTTATCAACAAGAGCAAGGGGACGTTATGGTAAGAGCAAGGGTGACATAGGATGGACAGTCAGTGGGCGGAATGATTGTGTCTCTTGAGCACTTAGAGGCCTGGAGCACAAACCGGGATCACATCAATGGAATTGCAAGCAGAGAACGTAGTCAGAGGCTTGTCCTCACCCTGAAGGGCACTGCAAGCCCAAGGCAGAGAGGACTGCAGCAGGACGTGGGAAAGCAACTTGTCCAAGGTGGCTGTGACTTCAGAAAGGTGTGCAGCCGCGACATTAAACCATATCCAATGTCTGTGCCTCGGAAATATTTTATTACTGGTCCAAAAGTCCAGGGACACTCTAAAATTGGAGGGGAAACATTATTTTTGAGAGCAAAATTCTCTGGATATTTAGATTCTGTTCTTGCCCAGGGTCATGTGAAAGGTGAATCTGTTAGCAGTTCAGATGGAGACTGTAAGGTTTCTACCATGATGAACGCAGCTTTGCCATCTCTAGGAAAAAGGCAGCAAATAATTTGGATCCCTGTATGTAGTTCCACCTAACAAAAGAAATAAGAGACACTGTTACTCCTGCTCAAATGACAGAGGAAAATGGGTCTATAATTTAAACAGGAAGCCTTGATGATGCACATTCCAACTAGAGGATGCAGCCTGTCTGGGGTCACCAGTGTGGAGACCCCAGGCTTGTACAGGGAGGCACCAGCGCCCACGGGGTCCATTCACCTGTTGATCTTCTCGTTCTGAGAGTGCTCTCCATCATCCACAGCACCCAGCGGCAGCATTATCACACTCTTCTGGGTGGTGTCCTGGAGGGTCTTGGCGATAGGTATGGTTGACCCATCCCGGATCATATCTGGCTCTGTCCCAAACACTGAAATGCAGGAAAGGCAGGCATGTGAATAAAACAATGGCAAGACCACCCCCAAGCAATCTCCTCGAATGTACTGCTTACTTTGTCTTTTCTTTTTAAAAAAATCATTAAAAATTTGATACTTAGGATAAAAAGCTTCTTGATTCCACATAATATATATTCTAAAATCATCAAAAGAGTCAAGAAGAAAACCACAGTTGTCTTCTTTACAGTTATGTACTTTTTAAAAACTTATTTTTAGGGGCTTCTCTGGTAGCTCAGTGGTAAAGAATCTGCCTGCTGACGCAGGAGACACGGGTTCAGTCCCTGGTGCAGGATGATCCCACACGTCGTAGAGCAACTAAGCCCAGAGGCCACAACTACCAAGCCTCTGCTTTAGAGCCTGCTCTCCTGGAGCTCATTCCCCGCCACGGCAGAAGCTACCACTGTGCAAAGTACTCCCACTAAAGAGTAATCTAAACTAAAGAGTAATCCTAGCAGCAACAAAGACCCAGCACAGCCCAAAATAAATAAATGTTAAAAAAAATTTAAATATAGTTTTAAATGTTTTTAAATTTGAACTAATTTTATACTTACAGAGAAGTTGCAAAAATCAGTACAGAGTTCCCATATATCCTTTACTTTCCCTAACGTTATCATAGAACCACTGTAGTTATCAACAATAGGAAATTAACACTGAGTAACATTGTTATTAATAGCTAGACTCAGGCCTGAATGGAATTTTACCACATTTCCCCTTTTTTTGTTCCAGGATTGAGCCCAGACTCCCACAGTACATTTTGTCATCACTCCTGAGTCTCCTCAAGCTTGTGACAGATTCACACCTCTCTTTGACTTTCATGAACTGGACCCTCTTGTAGAGTGCTGATTGGCTGTTGTGTAAAATGTCCCCCCGATTAACTTTGTCTGATGCTTTCTCACGGTTGGAAGAAGTCCTGCATTTTTAGCAGGAGCTAAACGAGCTAAACACCATGAGACGGTGTACCCACTTTTATGGTTGCTACATGAATTAACTATTGGGAAAGTGGGACTTCTTTTTGTTTTTATTTTTATTTGTAATCAACATATAAATAAATAGCTGTACTCAACTGTCACCTGAATGTCTCAGTGTTTGTGTACTCAACTTTCAAGGTACTTCAGGAAATAGTATTAATGGATATCCTAAGGTCTAGAAAGCAATGAGTTGAGACCTTCCAGGCTAGAGGACAAGTTGCAGGTGACAGAGCAGGAATGAACAACGAAGCAAAGTCACAAAAGAGAATCTGCCCCAGGACTTTCTCATCCACAGAGCAAGGTGTGAAGGTGAATAAAGACAGTGGATGTTGTTAGCAGAATGGTCCAGCACACAGATAGGCCCTAAGCTGCCTAAGCTTCCCTGCAACAGTAGGTCAGGTCTCGACATTTCAATCACATGCCTCTCTTCAGCGGCAGTTCCTTTATCATGCTAACCCTTCCTCCTCTTTTCTTCACTTGGCAGTGGGGATGATTATGTAGCTCTAAGTCTTGGACTTGTCCTCTGATGGTTAATGTCTGTGTCCCTGGACTGACCATCCTGATAGAGAGTGAGGGCTCCAAGGAGGTCTGGACTCCAAGTTCCAGCTCGCCATTGTTAGGGGAGTGCCCCAAGGCCCCTCTGCAACGTAGCACATGGATCTATATAAACAAGTATCAGTATCTTCCCGTCTCACATTTGGACAGACCCCCAAGGCCCCCACCCCCGCTTTTAGGAGAGCCCCTCATTTTGTAATTGTTGGCAGTGTCCCATTCCTGCTGAAACAAGGCTGGCTATTCCTTCTCCCCCAGCAGCCAGGGCCCAGACACGTGTCCCCTGCTCACCACTCACAGGATCCTGTCAGTACGAAAGTCGAAAGAGGCACCATGGAGGAAGTTACAAATAAAGCTACTCCCCATCTCTGGAGAAGGACCACTGGGTTTAGATTCAGATGGGCTGGAACTGAGTTTCTCGTGTGTTTTGTGATTTTGTACAAGAAGCTCATATCCAGGAAGCTGCTTCAGTGGAAGCTCGTTCCTGCCTTGGGGCTGTTTGCACCAGCCAGGCAGTCCGGCAAGGGCTTCAGAAGAACAAGACCATATATGGTGGGAATAGAAACCCAAACCCATGCCAAAATGGGTCCATGGTTAAACAGTCTCACGGGGGGACCCTGTGTTCACACAAAACCCAAGCAAGGAGGGTCAAGCTGACACATACACACACCCCTCCAGGATGAGCCTGGCTCCTGGAGAATGCCCTGCCTTATATAGAGGGTCTCATTTTCTGCTTCCTGATGCCCTGAGACCATTAATACCCACAGCGCCTTGTGACCAGGAAGAGCAAATTCCTGCCGGGCAGCCTGGTGTCAGCTTGCTCATTCCACTAAATCTTAGCTGCTTCATGTTTAATCCCAGAGGATTTCCTTTACTTTCATACAGCTTCAACTGTGCCTTTAAAAGGATGTTTTAAAATATTAGTCATCATTTCCTGGGTCAGGAAGACCTCTTGGAGAAGGAAATGGCAACCCACTCCAGTGTTCACCCCTGGAAAATCCCATGGACAGAGCAGCCTGGTGGGCTGTAGTCCATGGGGTCGCAAAGAGTCAGACATGACTGAGCGGCTAACTCTTTCCACACTCCCATCATTTCCATGAGCACTGGAGGTTTTCAAGTCCATCATTTTCCCCAAAATTCAAGTCTCCTGGTGTGAGCTTAAATGCTGGCTTTTCCACTAATAGCTGGGAGCCCTTCAGCAAATTACTTTGTCTCTTCAGGCCTTGTTTATAAAATGGGGACAGTAATAGAGAAGACTCATGAGACAGAACATTGTGCATGGTAATACAGCCCATAGGAAAAGGACAATGACGCTGAGGTTTTAACCTTACCTGCCTTATCCACTGCTCCACCAGGCACCACCCCCCATGGTAAACTGGCAACTCAAAATATCTTAAGTCCAACCTGTTTTGATGGCTCTTTTTTATGCAAGATACTGATGGTCGCTAATATTTGCAATCCACGGGTGCAGTCCTAGTGCCGTGGAAACAGTCATCTGGTTGGAGCTGTTTCTTTTGGAGAATATGTATTCAAGATGCTGCTTCACCTGAAAGGTAACATTTTCAGGTGTAAGAGAAACCTTCAAGTAATTCTCTCATACCATGAATGCACAGTCGTCTTTCATCTGGAAACTGATTAAACCTCAACCCGACAAATTTTGAGTGTTTTGGGCTTTGCCTGAGTTCTTCTGGAGGGCTGGCCTGGAGTGAGCAGGCTCTCCAGGATTCGGGGGTGAGCGGGGGGGTTTCATCTGATGGGAGCAACACTGGGTCTCACCCCCCTTCCTCCCCTAGACTCTCCAAGGCCAGCCCCGCCCCAACCCCTCCTCAGCACGATGTCTGTTAGCATCTGGTTATTTGGAATTTTGCTAGTTATGAAACATAATGCAAGTATAACTTCATCTGATGACTGATTGCCCTCTTTGGACTTATCAGTACCTTCATGACAATTTGCAGAACATCATACATTTGGAAATTTCCCAGAAGTGGGAGCAGTTCTGAGCTAAGCTGTGAAGGAGCCTGGCCATCAGTGTCCTTCTCTCTCCTCGGTTCTGTTAGCTGCTACTAGGGAACTCCTCCGAGAGTAACTTCAGACTCTGAAATAGTCCTTCCAGGGAACTCCTGGGGGTCCAGGGGTTGGGACTCCACACTATCACTGCCGAGCGCCCGGGTTCAATCTCTGGTCAGGGAACTGGGATCCCACAGGCCATGTGACGTGGCAAAAACAGAACAAAAAATCCTTCCACTTTTGGCTTCAGCAGATGCCAGTGGACATCTGTCACGTGTCCTGGGTCAGCACTCAGCTGGTCACAGCTGTGAGCAAAAGCAGGTTGTGCCTGCCCTCCTGGAATCTGTATGTTATAGAAAGAGGCACAGTAAGTCCGAAAAGGGAAGGAGGGAGGAGGGGGAGGGGAGGGAGGAGGGTGGGGAGGGAGTGTGTGGATGCGATCAACAATAAAAGGGATAGAACACAGGGACAGAAAGGGATGGGATGAGGTGTTTCCTGAGCACATTTATTCAGAGTCTACTTTCCATTAAACTTGAGTGAACTGACACTTGGTGGATAATTTAGACACTGAACTCCCGCCAGATAACGTTGTCATTAAAATGGCTGCGTTCAGAGAGTGGATTTCAGACAAACTGATGACTGCGGCTGCAGATTTTTCCGGCTCAATCCAGCCGCGGGCAGTTAGCTGCTCCATCTGGATGGAAAACCAATCCTGCCTTCATGTCTACCATTTACTCTTTAAAAATTTCCCATCACTCCAACTCCAAATGGTCACTTATCTGACTACTGTAATTGCATATAATTGAGCAGAGAGATTTTCACCAAACAAAAATTTCTATCAGTTTCTTGACGTTTGTTCCAGTCCCTTTTCCATTGGAAAAAAGAATGATACTTCAATGCTAACAACTGATCTGCCCCTACACTGTGGTGTGCGGCACTCGGGCACGGGCAGAGAACTCGGCACACAGTTACCTGGGTCTCCACCACAGACATATCCACGTGCGGCACTAACCGGATGGAGAATTTTCCTATGACTCGGCCAGGAATGACTGTTTTGGCTCCAGGCTCATGAAACGCACCCTCAATCCCATGGATAGAAAGAGATGGGTACCTCCACAGGTGCATTAGAAGTTCCTCCTATGAGATAAAATCATTTATTACAGAGAAGAACGTTTCATTAAAACCGATCGAGTGGTATCGCGTGTTCACCAGTGTCTGTACGCCTGCAACACTGCTCACGACAGGCTAATTATCACCTTACTGAGACAGGCCTGGATGACAGTATGGGTGGGCTTCCCCAAGGACCCGAGACCTGCCCGAGCTGCTTCCGCCGACCACAGCCCCTCATCACGCCAGCTCTGAAGTCTGCAGTTAGAACTGGGGTTCGATTATAAATTTCTGTCCCCAGTCATTCCAGTGATAACTTGTGTGCTAAATGCATTTTGTTTTCCAGAAGCCTTCAAAGAAATCTGCCGACCTTTGAGCCGGTAGCCCCCAGAAAGCCAGTCTGAGCAAACAGATATACTTCGTGATAATAAACTCCCCACTTCTGTTCAGGGTCCCTCCCTCCCCTGGAGATTCCCCCCCAGGAACCAGCCAGAGTGACCCATCAACTGGAGGGGCAAGCGGGTTTTGTTTCTTAAAAGGAGGAGAAGTAGAAGGGAAAATGAAGAAATCTAAACTGGCCAGTGCGTGCTCAGTCACTTCAGTCGTGTCCGACTCTTTGCGATCCTGTGGCTACTCTGTCTGTGGGACTCTCCAGGCAAGAATACTGGGGTGGGTTGCCATGACCTCATCCAGGGGATCATCCCAATCCAGGGATCGAACCTATGTCTCTTTCTCTCCTACACCGGCAGGCAGGTTCTTTACCACAAGCGCCACCTGGGAAGCACAGATTTGCCAGTAGCCAATGCTTTTGGCTGTGGTCTTATTTACTACACTGAGGCAGTGATGGAGAATTTACAGATTAAATCCTAAAGCTCTAGTTTTGTCTTTTTTATTTTTTATTTTTTTTTTTTTAGTGAAACGTAAAGTGTTTATTTGCAGGAAAAAGAGTACAGTATGTATGGGGTCGCATAGAGTCAGACACGACTGAAGCGACATAGCATGCATGCATGTGTGGATAGACACATAAGCAATCTCAGAGGGAGAGTCCCTGAGTCACACGCTTGTGGCAGTTTAAATCACTTACATGGGCATTTCTTCCAGGTTTCCTTTGGCCAATCATTTTTTAAACAGTGCTGCGATGAACATTGGGGTGCACGTGTCTCTTTCAGATCTGGTTTCCTTGGTGTGTATGCCAAGAAGTGGGATTGCTGGGTCATATGGCAGCACTTTTTTAAAATTTAAAATAAATTTAAATTTATTTAAAATTTAAAATTAATTTAAATTTTTAAAATTAAAAAAAAAAACAATTAGGGATCTTGGAACTGAAATAATCTCAGCCGATCTCAACCTCTAAACAGACAGGAAGCTCAACTCACTGGCTGAGGGCTGGCATGGGGTTGAGTCTCATAAACCGACTAGAAACACGCGGCCATCAGTCAGGCCGCCCGAGGCCCATGCCGGACGGACCCCAAGAAAAGGGCCAGCTGATCTTGCCCCTGGGATGGGACCCTGAAAGGAAAAGCTGCCCTAATGAGCGTGTGCTCCCAGCTCTGAGATGTGCAGAATGGCAGCGCATGGCAAACCAGGCACTGGGAAAGCACGGGTTCTCGGCACTCCTCTTGCAGATTTCCCGTCGAGGCGTGACCTACCTTGGTGTCAAATAGGAGCCCCTTAACCCGGCTGCTGCTCCGGAACTCGCCCACGTCCAGGTCGATGGCCTCGTACATCCTCTTCTCCTCTTCTGTAACAGGGGCCACGTGCTCATAGAGCCCAGGGACCAGGATGCAGCCAGACTTGTCCACCAGGCTGCCTGCGAGACACACGGGGGCGGGCGCGGGGGCAGTTACATGTGTGCAGGGTCCTAGCCCTGGAGAGGAGCCTTAGGAGGGACATGATTGTTTCTGGACTGTTAATCTGCTTCACCAAAGCCCCATAGCTCATAAGGCAAAAATGGTAACACAGGTACCATTAAAGAACAAATATTCATTATAAAAAAGAAATTAAAGACCCTATTATATAATATACATTCATTATAAACAAATACAACCGTAACTGTTTTTCAGGGATGTACTTGTAGATGCTGTGTGCTTATCGGCCCCCAAGGGTCCTGAGTTATGAATTCCTCTCATTTAGCCCAATAAGGAGTATCATATATCAAATAAATGATGCAAACTCACTAGTAAAATTGAAGTCAAAAATAAATTGGGCACCGACAGACCTGGACTGGCTGTAACTGACTTACAATCCGCCTCTGTCTCCCCTTGCTCCTTGGAAGAAAAGCTATGACCAACCTAGGCAGCATATTAAAAAGCAGAGACATTACTTTGCCCACAAAGGTCTGTCTAGTCAAGGCTATGGTTTTTCCAGTGATCATGTATGGATGTGAGAGTTGGACAATAAAGAAGCCTGAGAACTGAAGAATTGATGCTTTTGAACTGTGGTGTTGGAGAAGACTCTTGAGAGCCCCTTGGACTGCAAGGAGATCCAACCAGTCCATCCAAAGGAGATCAGTCCTGGGTGTTCATTGGAAGGATTGATGCTGAAGCTGAAACTCCAATACTTTGGCCACCTCATGTGAAAAGTTGACTCATTGGAAAAGACCCTGATGCTGGGAAAGATTGAAAGTGGGAGGAGAAGGGGATGACAGAGGATGAGATGGTTGGATGGTATCACTGACTCAGTGGACATGAGTTTGAGTAAGCTCCAGGAGTTGGTGAGGGACAGGGAGGCCTGGCGTGCTGCAGTCCATGGGGTCGCAAAGAGTCAGACATGACTGAGCAACTGAACTGAACTGAACTTCTGTCACCCTGATGAAAACAGCACCAAACTTAAAAGTCCCACCAGTGACACAGTCATTGAGTCTTTACTGTCCCTGAACCTAAACTTCCGCTGCCAGGCTCGTCTTCGAGGACAAAGGTGAATGGTAGACAGACCTGCTGGTAACGCAGCCGGAAAAACACAGGTAGGGAACCAGCAGTTGGACTACCTGGGCCAGCCTGTGGGGCCAGCCGAGGGGGGGCGGCGCAGTCAGTGGTGAGAACGGACACGTGTGTCTGAAACGCCAAGGGCAGCAGAAGCCAGGATGCCCAGGGTCCGGGTCATGGTGCCCATTTAGCTGGAGCGGCCAGACCTCACCCCTGAGTGGGGCACGGGCGATTCAAACAGACATCTGAGACCTGAAGCTGCGGTCGGAGCAGCTCACCACTTCCTCCATCAGAAATGCCCTGGGGGCCCAGTCCTATAAATCTCTGTTTTCTTGGGATGGAAGCAGCCTTCCCCATGCCAGCTGGGGGGAGTAAGTATCTGATTTGTTTCAAAAACAAAGTGAAAACATGTGCTTTTCATCCTGTCAGGACCCTAGTGGGACTTTTCCTAGCAGAGTCTGTGCCCTGGCAGGGCTGAATGGAATTCCAGGTCTGGGCAAAACCACAGTCTACCAAGATGCAGTGAGGCAGTAGTGCCTGGGCAGGTGGGGAGACCTCTAAATGCAGTCCCAAAGACGCAGGGATGCCACGCATTACATGCGGGGAGGCAGCGGAGGATGAGTCTGGTAAAACAGAGATTATTTTTATCTCCCCCTACCCTGCAAAACAAAAATATTAAGTTGTATGCTATCTGAATTCTTCTGGAAACAATTTAAACACTTTAAAGAAAAACAGCTCGCTATTTTCTGTCTGAAACCATCAAGCATGGAAAATACTGTCCAAGAGTTATATTGTAGGAAAACTAGAAGGCCTTAAAAAATAGGTGATAGATGAATAGGCAGACAGAAGATAGAGCACAGACAATAGATGGATTTCGCTATTTCATTGGGTAATGAAGGAGCAGGATGCACTAGAATAAAGTGACGCTGAAGACTGGGGGGCAACTGCCCAGCAGGTCTGCTGGAGGGCTGGTGGTTTCCAGGAGGAGGCCCCAGGCCACCGGGGTGTGAGCATGTAAGGCTGAGGTAGCACTGTGTCAAGGCGCGAAAAGCAGGGGTCTTTGCTAATTGATCCCCAGAGAGGGTGCATGCGTGCTAGGTGGCTTCAGTACTGTCCAACTCTTCATGACCCCATGGACTTTGCCCTCCAGGCTCCTCTGTCCATACAACTCTCCAGGCAAGAATACTGGAATGCTTTCTGGCCATTTTCCCAAAGGGGCTTGTTGTGAAATTTGCACAAAGTCAACTTTTATCCAGGTGAGAAAGATCCAGATGTTGTGGGGTCTGAAGCTTGTCTAACCTGAAAACCTCTCTTTAAAAAAAGAAGCAAATTATGACTTGAATTGATGTTTTTGAACTGTGATGTTGGAGAAGACCCTTGGACTGAAAGGAGACCAAACCAGTCAATCCTAAGGGAAATAAACCCTGAATATTTGCTGGAAGGACTGATGCTGAAGTTGAAACTCCAATACTTTCGCTACCTGATGCGAAGAACTGACTCATTGGAAAAGACCTGATTGCTGGGAAAGATTCAAGGTCAAGGCAGAAGGGGATGACAGAGGATGAGATGGTTGGATGGCATCACTGACTCAAGGGACATGAGTTTGAGCAAACTCTGGGAGATAGTGAAGGACTGGGAAGACTGGCGTGCTGCAGCCCATGGGATCACAAAGAGTTGGACATCACTGAGTGAACAACAGCAACAAGTTATTACAGCATGTGCAGAGTCCCTGCCAGGACTGTGCAAGCCACCCTGCAGATGTAGCTTCCTTCAGCTCCACGATCCATCTGACTGCTGGGCTGTCCAGGTGTAGGTGAGAGCTACAGTGAGTCAGGCAGGTGAGCAGGCTCCCTGGACACAGACAGAGACACACACACACACACTTACATTCACCTGAATCCACCAGGCCCACCACCAGAGAAGTTAAGGATGAGGGTTGGGGGGCAGCGAGCAAACTTGTTAGGGGAAACACTGACTGAAACCGCCCACCCAGGCCAGGCACCATAGTCACCATCTGCCTGAGTTGCTTTACAACAGGACGTGCTGGTAAGGAACGCAGAATCAGCAAACCACCACAAACCAGAAGAATTACAGGAAAGGTCAAATGGAGATGCCACTCATCCTATCAACCCCCCAGGATCCTCCTCGCTGGCATCCACCTTGGCTGAGTGATGCCTGTGCCACTAGGAAGGACCCTAAGTCAGAATGATTGGCCAGAGACCACCCGGAAACAAATCCCATCAGCATAAAACCCAGGACCACGAGCCACATGGCAGAGCAGTCCTCCTGGGTCCCTTACCCTGCCGCGGTCCCCCCGGGGGCCCCTTCCCAGTGAAGTCTCTTGCTCGGTCAGCATGTGTGTCTCCTCGGACAGTTCATTTCCAAGTGTCAGACAAGAGCCACTCTCGGGCCCCGGAAGGGCTCCTTGATGCTGCAACAGACTCACTGGTGTCCCTGAGCCACGTGGGGTCCTGGGGACCCATGGACAGAAGCCAAGAGGCGCGGGCAGACTGAGCAATGGCTCTGGATGCTTTTCCGGAAGGGTCTGTCCACCACCATCCCCGAGGATGGCCAGATGTGTTGTGACACCCAGTAAATGAAAAGGGGGTGGGTTGAGAGAGGGTTTCAATCCTTGGAAATAAATAACATGGATGTAATAAGCCTCAGGAGCTTTAGGTTATCCTCTGAAAGTCGCTCAGTCGTGTCTGACTCTTTGCAATGCCATGGACTACACAGTCCACGGAATTCTCCAGGCCAGAATACTGGAGTGGGTAGCCTTTCCGTTCTCCAGAGAATCTTCCCAACCCAGGGATCGAACCTAGGTCTCCCACATTGCAGACAGATTCTTTACCAGCTGAGACACAATGGAAGCCCAAGAATACTGGAGTGGGTAGCCTATCCCATCTCCAGTAGACCTTCCCAACCCAGGAATCAAACCGGGGTCTCCTGCGTTGCAGGTGGATTCTTTACCAGCTGAACTATCAGGGAAGCCCTAGGTTTTCCTCTGCTCTGCCCTTATTCAGGGCTGGCCTGAAACCGAGCAGGAAAGGGCCGAGTCCAGCAGAACCACGTTAGCAGATTCCTTGAGACTTAAAAAGTGAAATAGGACGTTACCAAGAAGAGCGACCAGATCCGCCATGGATTCATTGAGGATCCCACCAAAGGTCCCCGAGTGGAAATCTTGATCCCGGCACTTCACCTGCAAGACAGGCAAAGGGAAGGCAGCTGCTCCCGCTGTGGCCACTCGACAACAGCCCTCACCTGGCACCAGACCCGCCCAGGCGGCCCTCAGGACTCGGGTGGGTCAGCTGACACCCCCGCCGTGTTTCTCTCACATGACGTGGGGCTTCATGTCCCACTGGCTTCCCTAAAACTGGCTTCGCCCCCAGCCTCGCCTCCAGCAGTGCTGTGTCCCAGACCACCAGCCACCCCCCTACCCCGGGCCATGGTGATGTTCACGGAGCTGTCTCCCTCTTGGTTTCACCCCAGCTCTTACTCAGCCCTCCTTCCAGAGAAATTCTCCAAGAAACTTCCTTCTGCTTGTTCTCTCTTGCCTGCAGGACAGGTCTCCTTGTCTCTTCTAATAAGTGCTTTTCTGTCTGCTCACCCCAATGTGAGCCTGGAGCCTCCTTCCTCTGCACGTGGAGTGAGATCCACGTGGCTCCTTCATGGGCTCCACGGTCTCAGCGCTCACCCTCGAGGTCTAACCTTGGACCCACCCACAAGACCTAAGGCTTCTGTTTCTTTGGTACTTAATACTTTGGCATGCTCCCAGCTGCTGAACTGGAGGAGGTCTGGAAGGGAATATCTTCTACAGATGCCTCCCTCAGCGGTCGTTTCCAGGAGGGCTGCGGACCTGTGATTCCATCCCCTTCATGACCTTGGCCTCCTCCTATGCACACCGTGTCCAACCAGCTCCCAATTTCTAATGAGTTTGGGTGTGTGTGTGTGTTTTTTAAATCGTTTTCAGCTCCTTCCCTCTCAGCCTTCCTGCCTGGCTGGCCCTTCCCTGCCCCGCCATCTCACAGCACTGCCAGATGAATCCTTCACTTACTCCTCAGGCAGCAATGTGAACACAGCCCTTGGGTTGGTAGTGCTCCTCTGGGATCCCATGCTCTTATCCCTCCTTCTGGCCCCAGCATCTCTCCTCCATCCCCCTGGCCACAAGCCCCTCTGCCTCTTCACTCCAGAAACATGGACAAAACAGAAGCATTCACTGTTGGGGGGCTTCATGGACCCCCCAGTCCTGAGACCCCGTGGTTCCCCCACACCGGGTCAAGCAGCCAGGTCAGCGTCTGCTCCATCTTCCCACCAGGATCCCAGCGTGGACACCCCCACATCCCTGACGGCCATGGTTGGCAGATACCTCCACAGTGAAGTAGCTGTTCCCCCGCGTCCCATAGATGAGTGCCGGCTTCCTCTGGCTAATCCACAGGTTGTCCAAAATCACAATGCAGTCCACACTCGAGAAGAACCCAGACTTTTCTTTCCAGACAAGTTCCTCCAGGGCTAGAGACCTGGCCTCCTCCATCCCTTTGATGAGGAATTTGACGTTCACCGGGAGACCCTGCATTAACGATGGGGCAAATCATGCTGCAGGAGAGAGTGGACCCCTTGCCCTTCATGTTTTGAAAACCCAGGATGTGTTTGGGTGTAACATAAATACACTGCACTGTTATACACATTCCCACAAGCTCTGTTTACAATGAAGCAGTTTTAACTCAGGTTGTGAGGGAACCAAGGTAATGGCCAGTGAGGCAGGAAACTTATGTTCGTGACCAAGGATCTGGGAAGGGCGTTCCTAAAGAAAAGGCCATGTCCACAATACAGGGTTCCACTTGGCCCTGCAGAGAGGCCCTATCCTTCCACTCCCCAAGAGGACTTTTTCCAGAAGGGTTACTCCATTCCAAGTCTCTTTTCTGTCCTCATAATCCTGAGCATGATAAATGAGAGCTCTTTCCTTTGAAAGGCTGTCTAATGTTTAAGCCTCGGGATAATTTTTATTTCAAGTATCTGTTATTTTTCAGCTGTGAGCTCAATCTGCCTTTTAACTTATTCAAAGGCTTTGATCTTGCAGCAAAATGGAACTTGAGGTTTTCTCTAGTTAATATTAGGGCGCCTTTAAAATTTTTACAATGTGCCTTTCCCCCATTTGGTTTTGATCTTCCTGTATCTTTATAATGTATAACTTCATATCTTTGAGAGGCACGTGGAGAGGAGAGGTCAATGGCTTTTCCTGGAACACGAGGCAAAATGGGAGCGGTAGGGGTTGAAAAGTGATTCAGTGCAGATGAGGCAGCACACACATACTAATTAGTTGTAATGAGTGACGCTGACTCACCCCCATGAACAAAGGCAGGCCGAGTGGGGGATTATGTTTGAGAAAGTAAGTGACCTTGGGTCACTTAGCTGGTTAAGGGGATTTGGGGATAAAGATTTGCTCAGTGCATTCCCTGAATATATTTCTAGGTGTCTTAGGAAGTCAAGCTAAAGTTCTGAAATTTTAATATTTGAAAGCTCTTTATTAACATTTAACTAGAAAACAATTGCTAAGGAGCAGTTTAAATGCCTTGGAATTTTCTGGCAAAATGTGATTAATAAAATACAAGTCAGTAGCTATTAAGTGTCAAGAGAAGGATGTGAGACCAGCAGCCAGGGCTCTCTGTTCTGTCCCTTAACACCCAAGGGGCCGGGGACTAGCCATGTCACCTCTCGAATGACAGCCACTTCTTTATGTGAGGCAGGTATTAATACTCTCCCTGCCTCTTGCTAAGATGAGCCAGAGAAGTGCTGTACGTGTAAGTGTGCTGAACAAGACAGGAAGGGGATGAGAGGGAACAAGGAAGCAAGAAGCCAGTGCTCATAAAGGGCCTGGTACTTGCAGGTGCCACAGAAACTTTATACGTGTAACTTCACTTAATAAACTCAACAAGCCTGGTGATAGAAACGATCAATCATAGATCACAGATGAGGAAAGTGAAGCTTGGAGAGATGAACTGATTTGTCTGAGGGCCATGAGGACTTCATACGCTTTGTTTGTGATTATGTAAGTTTCAGAACTGAAATTTAAAAACCAAACTAGCTTTTTGCCTTCATACAGACAGGATGAATGGAGGATTATATATTATGTATGCAGCACTTCCCAGGTGGCACTAGTGGTAAAAAACACGCCTGCCAATGCAGGAGACATAAAAGACTCGGGTTCAATCCCTGCGTGGGGAAGATCCCCTGGAGGAGGGCACGGCAACCCACTCCAGTGTTCTTGCCTAGAGAATCCCATGGACAGAGGAGCCTGGAGGGCTACAGTCCCAAGAGTCAGACATGACTGAAGTAGCTGAGCACACATGCATAGAAACTTATAAATATTGTTTTCCTCTTCTTAAGGAAGAAGAACAGAAAAAGAGGAGGAAACTGGTGAGGCAGGAAAGATAACGAGACTAAGAAAGTGGAGAGAGAATTGAAGAGAGAGAAAGAAACCAAGGGCTTATTTAGAGGAGCGCATGAACAACAGGTCAACAGGGCCCGGCCAGAAAGATGTCCCGATTCATTAAGCTAGTCTTGCTCAGTGAGATAAAGCAGTCAAGTGGAGAGCACTTAAACCCTCTCTTCTGCTTCTTCTCAGGAGAGAGAGTCTCTGGCACCTGATGAAATCACTTCCAGCAAAAAACAGAAGCAAAGCCAGGGCCTGTTCAATGGACAGGATTTGGGAGAAGCAGCATCAAGGATCTCAGCATTGGGCACGGCTGGGCTGCTCCACTTGCCTTGTGTTTCTCCTATAGACACAGTGCCCAGAGATGGACCCCCCATCACAGTCCTCCCCAGATAGGATAGCCCACCATTGCCATAGCCACTGTCGTCACCATCACCATCATCTCCATCGTCATCAACACCATCACCATCATCCTTAACGTCACCATCACCACCATCACCACTATCTCTATCACCATCACCATCATTTCCATCACCATCACTATCATCACCACCACCACCACCATCTCCATCACCATCATCATTACTGTTGTCATCAACGTCACCATCATCTCCATCCTCATCAGCACCATCACCATTCACTACCATCACCACCATCACCATCACCATCATCTCCGTCACCATCATCCTTACTGTCATCATCACTATTACCATCACCATCATCCTTACTGTCATTGCCACCAGTACCATCACCACCATCACCATCACCACCATCACCATCATCCTTACTGTCACCATCACCACCATCACCACCATCACTATCACTATCACCATCACTACCATCACCACCACCACCACCATCATCTCCATCACCATCACCACCATCACCAACACCATCACCATCATCTCCATCATCATCATCCTTACTGTCATCATCACTATTACCATAACCATCATCATTACTGTCATCATCACCATCACCATCACCTCCATCCTCATCACCACCATCACCATCATCTCCATCACTATCACTATCATCACCATCATCATTACTGTCATCACCACCATCACCATCATCTCTATCACCATCACCATCACCATTACTGTCATCATCAATATCACCATCATCTCCATCCTCATCAGCACTATCATCATCACTACCATCACCACCATCACCACCACCATCATCTCCATCACCATCACCACCATCACCATCATCTCCATCACTATCACCATCATCACCATCATCATTACTGTCATCACCACCATCACCATCCTCTCCNACCACCATCACCATCATCTCCATCACTATCACCATCATCACCATCATCATTACTGTCATCACCACCATCACCATCCTCTCCATCACCATCACCACCATCACCATCATCTCTATCATCATCACCATCACCATCATTATTACTGTCGTCATCAATATCACCATCATCTCCATCCTCATCAGCACCATCACCATCACTACCATCACCACCATCACCACCACCATCATCTCCATCACCATCACCACCATCACCAACACCATCACCATCATATCCATCACCATCATCCTTACTATCATCACCACCATCACCATCCTCTCCATCACCACCATCATCATCATCCTTACTGTCCTATCATCACCACTATCACCACTATCACCATCACTGTCATCATCACCATCACCATCCTCACTCCCAAGTGCAGCCAGCACCTACCTCGTCCAGGGCCTTGAATGCGCTCACCGCATTGATGCATGCTAAAACAGGTCCTTTGTTGTCTGTTGTTCCTCGGCCATAAAGTTTTCCTTTAAAAACGGGGGAAGAATTTTCAGAAAAGCATGGATGCCTCTGCCAGGTTGAGTGAGGGAATCAAAAACAAAAGTAGTTTTGCAGATAATTGCTTGAATCAGGTTCTCTCTTTTTCTAGGCAGCAGTCTTGCTCTTAACTCACAAAGTTTTATTTCTTATATACAAATAGTATGCTAGTCAACAAATGTAAGCTAATTGAAAATATACAGAGCCCTTTGGCCTTAATAGTAGTTAGCTATTTTTATCCCAGTTCATTGAGAAAGACCTGAGGATTTGTTGCAAAATATCAGGTAACACAGCCTCTCACTCTGAGATTTTACAATTATCAGGGGAAAGAAAAAGGGTGCACAGGTGTCTCCATTAATCTTTCTTCTTCTTGTCTTTAAAAGTATAATTACATTTGATGTTTTTTGAAAAGAAAATATGTGAAACACAAGAACTCCCATCCTGGGGACTTAATTCACCCAGGGGCACAAAAGCTCATAGTTTCTTTCACAAATGAAAGAAATCAGCTTCATTGAACCAACTGGTGAACCAAGAGCACTGCATTCTGTCCAATCCTCACAGCCACAGGTAAAACCTGGTACCTGAGGCAGAACTGCATCTCAAACCATTAAGCTCTGTGAGTGATCCTTCACCACTGACCATCCACCTCCGTCAGCGTGTACGGGTCCGTGAGCCACCTGTCCTCCTGTCTGGCAGGCTGCACATCCGTGTGGCCGGAGAAGCACACCGTGGGCTTCTTGGGGTCACTGCCCAGTTCAGCCAGGAGGATGGGAGGTATTGGGAGGGTCTGACCATCAGGCAGCTGCAGAAGGAAAAGGGATAATGTTTATAAAACAAAACAAAACAAAACCAGTTCTTCCAGAAAATTCAAAGACATGGCACTAGGAGTCTATTTCTACCCCTGGTCCTTGGAGAGCCACATTATTTTTATCTGACTCTTAAGGGGGTACCACAAGACACTTCTAATGTAAACATCATGAGAAGTAAAGTCCTTCCTCAGATACACACTGACCAAGAGTAAACTTAATTGAACATGCTCTTCCATATGAGAGTTTTCCCAGTGGCTTGGCTGTAAAAGAATCAGCCTGCAATTTTGCAGATGCAGGAGATACAGGTGTGATCCCTGGGTTGGGAAGATCCTCCAGAGGAGGAAATGCCAACCCACTTCAGTATTCATGCCTGGAGAATCCCATGGACAGAGGAGCCTGGTGGGCTACAGTCCATGGGGTCACAGAGAGTCGGACACGACTGAGTGACTGAGCACACTCTTCAGTCTGAACTCAGACTCCACCAGCTCCAAGCAGGCGGACGCAGTCCTGGAGACTAGTCTTTGCACACATGTCGGCACTGAAGCAGGGGACACTGGGAGGTTCCAGTAAAGGTCAATGTGCCCCCATGTGTGTGTGTGTGTGAGTGAGAGAGAGAGAGTGTGTGTGTGAGAGTGTGTGTGTGAGACAGTGTGTGTGTGTGTGTGTGCGTGACTGTGTGTATGTGTGTGCGTGACTGTGTGTGTGTGTGTGAGTGTATGTGTGCGACAGTGTGTGTGTGCATGACTGTGAGAGCGTGTGTGTGTGTGTGTGACTGTGAGTATGTGTGCATGTGACTGTGAGTATGTGTGTGTGCATGACTGTGTGAGAGTGTGTGTGTGAGACAGTGTGTGTGTGTGCATGACTGTGTGACAGAGTGTGTGTGTGTGACTGTGAGTATGTGTGCATGTGACTGTGAGTATGTGTGTGTGCATGACTGTGTGAGAGTGTGTGTGTGAGACAGTGTGTGTGTGTGCATGACTGTGTGACAGAGTGTGTGTGTGTGACTGTGAGTATGTGTGCATGTGACTGTGAGTATGTGTGTGTGCATGACTGTGTGAGAGTGTGTGTGTGAGACAGTGTGTGTGTGTGCATGACTGTGTGACAGAGTGTGTGTGTGTGACTGTGAGTATGTGTGCATGTGACTGTGAGTATGTGTGTGTGCATGACTGTGTGAGAGTGTGTGTGTGAGACAGTGTGTGTGTGTGCATGACTGTGTGACAGAGTGTGTGTGTGTGACTGTGAGTATGTGTGCATGTGACTGTGAGTATGTGTGTGTGCATGACTGTGTGAGAGTGTGTGTGTGAGACAGTGTGTGTGTGTGCATGACTGTGTGACAGAGTGTGTGTGTGTGACTGTGAGTATGTGTGCATGTGACTGTGAGTATGTGTGTGTGCATGACTGTGTGAGAGTGTGTGTGTGAGACAGTGTGTGTGTGTGCATGACTGTGTGACAGAGTGTGTGTGTGTGACTGTGAGTATGTGTGCATGTGACTGTGAGTATGTGTGTGTGCATGACTGTGTGAGAGTGTGTGTGTGAGACAGTGTGTGTGTGTGCATGACTGTGTGACAGAGTGTGTGTGTGTGACTGTGAGTATGTGTGCATGTGACTGTGAGTATGTGTGTGTGAGACAGTGTGTGTGTGTGCATGACTGTGTGAGAGTGTGTGTGTGTATGTGACTGTGTGTATGTGTGAGTGTGTGTGTGTGTGTGTGTGACTGTGTATGTGTGAGAGTGTGTGTGTGCGTGACTCTGTGTATGTGTGTGTGCGTGACTCTGTGTGTGAGAATGTGTGTATGAGACAGTGTGTTTGTGTGTGTGAGAGTGTGTGTGCGTGACTGTGTGTGTGTATGAGACAGTGTGTGTTAGTGTGTGTGAGTGTGTGCGTGACTCTGTGTGTATGTGTGTGTGCGTGACTGTGTGTGTGTGAGAATGTGTGTATGAGACAGTGTGTGTGTTTGTGTGTGTGAGAGTGTGTGTGTGCATGACTGTGTGTGACTGTATGTGTGTGCATAACTGTGTGTGTGTGTGCGTGACTGTGTGCGTGTGCGTGACTGTGTGTGTGTGTGTGACTGTGTGTGTGTGTGTGTGCGTGACTGTGTGTGTGTGTGTGCGTGATTGTGTGTGAGAGAGTGTGTGTATGAGACAGTGTGTGTGTGTGTGAGTGTGTGTGTCCCTGTGTTGGTCGTGTCTGACTCTTTGTGACTCCATGGACTGTAGTCCGCCAGGCTCCTCTGTCCATGGGATTCTCCAGACAAGGACACAGGAGCCGGTCACCACGCCCTCCTCCTGCGACCTTCCCCCGAGAGGCAGCAGGGAACCTTGATTCTGAGAGGTGGTTCCTTTAAGGAGGCATTTGCGCTTAAGGGAGAGGGCCCTTGGGAGAAACGCAAGGCACGTGAAGGACGTGAAGAGCACAGGTGAGGGGCTTTCACGCGCCCCCTTCACCTGCCCCATTTGCCCCTCTGTCCGGCAGGACAGGAAGTCAGTGCCAAAACCTCACTGGGACCAGAGACGATGGGGCAGGAGGCGACACTAGGAAGCCCTGGGGAGCCCAGGGAAGCCCCATCCTGGCCCCAGGAAGGGGAGCCTGGCCGAGGCGGGAGGCGGGGGCACCAGCACCTGATGAAAGCCCGTGTCCACCGAGGCCAAGCGGGCTCCCAGGCCCTGGAGCTGGTCCGCAGCCAGGCCCGCCATCTGGTGCAGCTCTCGTCGCAGGCGGGGCACCGGCTGCACCCAGTTGCTCTCGACGGCCACCCACTCCTTCAGCGTCTGGGGGCAAAGGCGACAGGTGTTAGCGTGGGGGGTCATTATGTCTGATCCCCTGGGCGTGCCTTGCAGGACTCCTGGGTCCCCTCTTCTAACCTGGAGACCCAGCTGGAGGTGAGAACAGGAGCCCGGGGGAAGGACGGATGGAAGAGCCTGCTTCTAAAGCCTGGACCTGGGCCCCCCAGGCCTCAGCCCCCACGGAAGGGCCGTCCCCGTCACCCGGCTGGCTTCTGAACTGAAAGCCTCTGGCCACCCACTCGAGGACTCGGCTTCCCACGAACACCCCTTGTGGGTCCCTGACTCACCTCTCTCTTCTCTCCCCACTACACTGGACAACACCCCAGGAAAGTTGTGAAAGCTCAACAGGCATTTCCATCAAGTGAACATGCCCCCATGAGGAAGGAGTCCGTGAAGGCCCAGCTCAGGGCCAGCAGCCTGGAGATTCAGCTTAGTACTTTAGTATGAACACGGGGGGTTCAGTCGGTTTGCACAATAATATTCCTGACGTGGGCTGGTTGGTCCAATGAGCAGACACTGACCATGCATCACATGCCAGACACAGTGTTGGGAGCTCAGGGTATTCCTGGTGGTGGATGCGGGTGGGGCGTGCTGGGGTGGGCGGGTAGGAGAGCCAGCAGAAGGAGGGGGTGTGCCAGGTGGGACGGTGGGTCCAGCGCCCCCCCAACCCCCATGACTTTCTGCTCCCCAGGCCTCTCTCTTCCCCTTGGCCCCCACTAGCCATGTCTCTCCCTACACACACATATGCCCACACCACGTGCAGATGGCCACATGTCAGGATGAAGCAGAGACTCGTAAAGGAGGCAGTAAAGTACATGGTGCGCGTGGGCTGCAAAACCGACAGCCTTGCCATGAGCTTGACAGGACTGTCTGGACTTACAGGTGCTGTGGCAGCTGGTGATGTAACGGGGACGTTTCAGGCAGGTTTATGGGTGGAGGGGACCTCGGTGAGGGACGCTCTGAAGAAGAGGGGAGGATGGGCCATCTGATGATGGTCCAGGATAAACATGGACTCGCCAGAGCTTGCTGGTCATCCCTGAACAGACAGACCTAGAGCAAATGTGCTGGGAATGCCCCCTTTCAGGAGGAACGGCTGGGAGGGATCTCTTACCTAAATCTAACCAACATTGACTATTTTAATTCAATGAGGAGCCACATGCATTTTAAATGGAATTAAGTTGTCAGGAAAAGGATGAGATGGTTAGATAGCATCACTGACTCAATGGACATGAACTTGAGCAAACTCCAAGAGACAGTGGAGAACAGGGAAGCCTGGCAGGCTACAGTTCATGGGGTCACAAAGAATCGGACACGACCTAGTGACTGAACAGCAAGTTGTCAGGCAAAAAAGAAAAAAAAAAATCCACATCTCCCGGCAAATTCTCCCAGCTTCCCAAAGTGCACTGTCCAAGTGTTCGGCGCCTGTCGGGTCTCTTACCTGCACAAATTCATCTTGATGAAGTTCAATGTACTGGAAGACTTTCTCTAGCGACCCAGGGGGTGGGGTGGATGTGGAGAACATGCCTCCGACCAGCAGCAGCAGGAAAGCAAGGAGAGACGCCGCCTGCAAGTGGGCGACAGCAGGGGGACCATTTAAAATAAGGACAAGGTTTGGGACTTTCCATCTCTAAAGTACTTCAATAAAGTTAATGTTATCCGACACAGCTGCTCTCCGTCTTTTGAACTGAAATAACACAAGGGAATAGAACAGGAGATGTATTTTTTGCTACATCTTTTCCCAAACACTTCCTTTGCAATGCTAGAGAATTTTAATAAGACAGAAACCAAGTTAACAAACTTGTCTTTAAGCAAGTTTCTTCTGTTCTTTTCCTAATACAATCTTTCCTATGGGTTCAGGGGCTTCCTGCAGGTGGTGCTAGTGGTAAAGAACCTGCCTGCCAATGCAGAAGATGTAAGAGGGGGATTTGATCCCTGGGTCAGGAAGATCCCCTGGAGTAAGGCACAGCAACCCACTCCAGTATTCTTGCCTGGAGAATCCCATGGACAGAGGAGCCTGGCAGGCTGCAGTCTGTGGGGTCACAAAGAGCCGGACAGTTGTCTGAAGTGGCAGCACACACATGGGGTCACTTCCTGAAAAGTATAATCAGCTTCCTACATCCCAGGTGTCAAGGACAGTGTTTATAGGAGAGAAAGGTGTGAATTAATAATATTAATTTAAAAATAAAACAGCAACAAAATTTATTTGGGTGATTATTCACTTTACTAGAAGGGATATTTTGTAAGGACGGACTAAAATCCTGTGCAGTGTTGTAGGGCTTCGTGCCATCCACTCCTGAGGTCAGAATACTCTAAGAAGCTTTACAAGATTTGATCTGATAAATAACATGGCAGGACTGGCAAGCATGTAGACACTGCTGGCCACGGTCTCTGCCTGGGAGCCCGCGACCCACGGTCTTCCTTTGTCTGAGACCCCATTACCCCCACCCCCCATGAGCCCCTGGTCTTCCTTCTACCCCCAAAGAAGATTCCAGGCTAGGGGCAGAGCAGAAAAAAACAGGTCCAGAACTGAGTAGAGCTTCCAGGTTGAGAATGAAGCTAATTATCTTCCTCCTCTTCCTTCCGGATTGGTTCTGTACAGTTTTGAAATAGATTTTATTTTTCAGAAACATCTTAGGTTCAGGCCGCTTCTTCCCTTGGCCTCCAATTCCAGGCACCCAGAGAGTGAAGGTGAGAACTTGAGTCTTGAAGATAGAGAACTACTACAACTCAACAATAAAAGACAAATTAACCTAATTTTTTAAATGGGCAAAAGATTTGAATAGATACTTCTCCAAAGAGAATGCACAAATGGCCCACTAGCTCGTGAAAAGATGTCCGACATCATTGCCACCAGGAAACTCAGATCTAACCACAATGAGGCAACAATTCACACCACTCAGGATGTTTAAAACCAACAAGTCAGATGACCACAAGGGCTGGAGAGGGTGTGGGAAAACCGGAAGCCTCGTGCATGGTTGGTGGGGATGTAAGGTGGCATAAGTGCATTGGGAAGCAGTCTGGCAGTATCCTTCGGCGGTTCAACAGAGCTGCCGTACGACTCAGCAGTTTCACTCCTAGCTGCATGCCCAAGAAGGATGAAAACACACGTCCACCGGAAAACTTATACATGTTCACTGCAGCATTATTTGAATCAGTCAAAGGTGGAGACAAAAACCCAAATGACCAGCAATGAATGACTGTACAGACAAAATGTGGTGGAGACACACAACAGAATATTACTCAGCCATGAAGACAGATGAGGTTTTGACATGTGCTACAATGTGCATGAGCCAGAAGAAACAAAAGGCTACACTTTGCATTTGTCCAATTACATGAAATGTCCAGAATAGGTAAAAACGGAGACAAGAGTAGGTTGGTGGTGGCCTAGGGCTGGGAGGACTGGGGGTGGGGGGTGTCGAGGGGGAAGGGGCTTAGCCTGCTCATGAGCTGGGGGATCTTCTCCAGCGATGAGAATGCTCTAAAGTTGACTCACAGTGACTGATCAATCCTGAATTCACGAAAGACCACTGAACTGCACACTGTGAGTGGGCAGACTGCGAGGGAAATGAGTCATATTGCAATACAGTTGTCATCAAGATAATAATCAGGAATGTAAGCACCCATTCCACAATAGAAATGTGTTACTGAGTATGAGAAATGTGTACAGAGGAAGCCGCGGAGAGGGTCCAGTGGGTGTCGCGGTGAGCTGCGCTTCTCCGCGGGCGCACGGCGGTTTGGCCCGGCAGACGGCGCTGCGGAGCCGCGGCCTCGCCTCTGCTCCCAGCTCACCCGACCGGAGCGAGTCTCCAGGCGGCTCGGGGTCCCGCGTCGGGGGCGGGCAGAGCCTGGAGCCGGGGCTGCGGGGACCCGCCGCGGCGGGACGGTGAGGACGCGCAGGAGGCCAGCTTCTACGGCTGAGCCATCTAAATGAACGGCTGAACTGTTATTTTTATTTTTCATCCAGTTTCCATTACAAAAAAATTATTTGCTGCTCCTCTTCAGTGAAATGTGCAAGGAAAATCTGAAAAGGAAAAGGAAGCCGCGGGAGAGGAAGGGGAAACCTTGGTTGTTGCGGCCCGGGGCCTTTGCGGGGGGGGGGGGGGGGGGGCTTGGTTTTTTCGGGGGGGTTCTTGGCGCAGGGCCTGCACCCTCAGCCCTCACAGGGGCGCGTTTTCCTGTCGTCTGCCCTTTCCGTTTCCGTTTGCCTCCCCTTTCCACTTGCCATCAGGCCCACGGAGGCCGGCCCTGGGCGCTCATCTCGCCTTTAGGACCCCGGGTGAATCTCTCCTCCGGAGCCTCGTGTCAGAGTCATGCTTGGCCTGAACGAGCGAGTCACCCACAAAACCCTGGGCCTGAGAGAGGGCAGCCCTGGCCTGGCCTTGGCAGAGAGGAGAAGGTGCGGGCGGGGATCCGGGGGCAGAAAGGAGTCCCTGGAGAGGAGAAGGTGCGGGCGGGGGGTCCGGGAGCGGAGCCGATGCCCAGGCCCTAGTGTCCTCCCTGGGGCCGGCCCTGGGCTGCTCTGCAGGCTCCTGCAAGCTCCAGCTGGGTGTTCTGAGACGGGACCGGAGTTCCCGGAGCCCCTGGCCTGCGTCCATTTTAACCTAAGGACTTCCGACCTCTTGCAGTCCCGGCCACACCTCTGTGGTGACCATTCTCCACCCATCCACCGAGCTTCACTTCCTCAAAGCCTCTCCCCACCACGGACACAGGCCTCGGGGGTCTCTCTGCTCTCTCCTGGCTCCAGTCAACAACTGGGGAGAAAGATGAACCGTGTGCTTCGCAGACGGTGGCTTCGGAATGCTCCTGGGCTGCCTCAAACAATGTGGCTTCTCTATGTCCTGCCAGGAAAGCAGCAGGCATTTCAGGAGGAGGCTGGTGTGTCCTTAGCTTCTTGTGTTGAGCAGCACAAAGAATAGAAAATGAAAGCATTCTCGCCTCCCACTTCCCCCCACACAGCTGGGGACCAAGGGTGGCTCCCCTGTGTACACACGACAGCCCATTAGACAAACCCTTTTCTGCGCATAAGCAACTTTAGTGCCAGGGTTCACCTGGATGCCCAGAATGCTACTTACCAAGTCTTTCAGAGTCCCACATGATGTTTTACAACTATCGCTCTACCTGTGTCTGCTTTGGTGAATTTTATGATACAGAAAAAATGCTTTATTAGCCTAGTTTAATCTCATCATGAGAGGATTAAAAAATAAAAATCCCAAACCAAAAAAGCCAGCTTTGCTGGATTCTGTTCATCCCCTGCAGGCTCTGAACTGAGCCAAGGACTCCTGCAGAGATGAGCCAGTTCAGCAAGCCTGTGAGGGCGGGGCTTTCAAGGGGGCAGCCTGGACAAGGCTCTGGGCCAAGGAGCAGTTTCAAGGATCAGGCCTCCCCAGGAAGTCCCAGGAACCACCAGTTTCTCCTCCTTCTCGTGGCTGAGTTTCACCCCAGAGGAGAGCTTGTTGTTGGTGTTCAGTAGTCGGTGTTCAGTTGGTGCTCAGTCATGTCCGATTCTTTGAGACCCCATGGATTGTAGCACTCCAGGCTTCCCTGTCCTTCACTGTATCCTGCAGTTTGCTCAAATCCATGTCCATCGAGTCGGTGATGCCATCCAACCATCTCATCCTCTATTGTCCCCTTCTCCTCCTGTCTTCAATCTTTCCCAGCATGAGGGTCTTTTCCAAGGAGTCAGTTCTTCGCATCAGGTGGCCGAAGTATTGGAGTTTCAGCTTCAGCATCAGTCCTTCCAGTGAATGTTCAGGAGAGCTCAGCTGAACCTCATTCCCAGACCCAGAGGTGATGCCTCACACTGCACGCAGGCAGTTGCGATACCAGCACTGGGGTCACCTCTTGGTGGGGATCAAGCCAAAAATAACACACCAGTCAAAGGACAGGAGGAGGAAGGTTTATCACTTGCAACAAATAAGGAGAACACTTAAGGGATCTTTCTCAAAGTAGTGTCGCCCGGAATGGAGAATACTTGGGGACTTTTAAGCTAAGGGTACGTGCATCTTAATGAAGGGGCTGAAACAGAGAAGAATTCAGCAGAGAACTGGGGCAAAGGTAGTTGGTAGATGATTGAAGTCATGAGGGTTAGAAAAGGTCAATATTGTCATCCCTCAGATTCCAGTTGGTCTGGAGGTGGAGCACTTTGGGCTAATCTGTACTACTGAAGCAGACCTGGGGTCTTTACAGCTGACTCCTTGTCTTTGCTGTTGTTCTGTCTCTCGCCTGATGACGATCATTTGTTCTCACAAGATCATGAATTACTGAGAGCATGGTGGCCAAGCTTAGATCCCAAAATGACTCGGGCAAAAATGGCTTCTCTTCTGTCAAAAATCCCCGTTGGATTCTTTTCCTTCGGGACCCCTACCCTATAGGCCCACATTACTTCCCCGGCAGTTTTCTTGACTCTTTTTCTGGGACTTCTACTACAGCTGGAGTCTCTCATATCTCATCTGCCCTCCAGCTGTCTTCGATCTTCTGTTTTCTATCCTGTTATCCCTTTGCCCCACTTGCCGGGTGAATGCCTCAGTCCCACTGTCCAGCTCATTCATTCTCCTTGCAGGTGGTTGGTCAGCACTGACATCCTCTGCTGAGTTACTGTAGTGACTGGTTCCATTTTCAGGGTTGCTAACTGGTTTTGTTTTATATGGGCTTCCCTGGTGGCTCAGATAGTAAAGAGAAAAGAAAAGAAAAATCCACCTGCAATGCAGGAGATCCAGGTTCAGTCCCTGGGTTGGGAAGATTCCCTGGAGGAGGGCACAGGAACCCAGCCTTGCCTGGCAACCTCATGGACAGAGGAGCCTGGTGCACTACAATGCCAGTCCATGGGGTCTCAAAGAGTCGGGCACGACTGAGCGACTAACCCTTTTCCATCATTATTAGGACAGGACTGATAACTGCAAGGTCAAGGTGATCAGGGGTGCTAGGCTTTGTGAGACCACCCCCGCACAGCACTGCCGCGGAGGTCCTTGGCCCTTGGTACAGGTGTGTCGTTAGGTACCCGGGAAACCGCAGAGCTGAAATCTGTTAAAACCAGGATTCAGGGGCGCCCTCACTGGAGCAGCTCCGGGTCTCTCTCCCTCCCCATCCCGCAGCCCGTGGGGAGCCCATCTGTGCCTCCACCACTCTCCTCTCCTTTCCCGAGGCCCCCATTCCCTCCGCGTGCTCTGAAGCCCATTCTTTGGGGGTCAGTGGAGGACAGCGCCCCCGTCTTTACGTGCCGCCGCAAGCTGAGTGCGGTCTGCAGAGAGGCCGTGTTTCCAATCAGAGCGCTTCTGAATGGGGCGGGTCGCAGTTGCTTGAAAGAGTCGTTGAGAGGCAGACACTTGAGGGGTTATGGGGCCAGCAGGGGGGGGTCTCTAGGGACAGAAGCCCCTCGAGTCCTGGTGTAGAGTTACCTACCGTCCCCAGAGCGGAGCTCGGGCGGGGGTGTCTTCAGACTCCAATTCCCCGCCTCCAGCGTTTCTCCATCTGCCCCGAGACACTCAGTAGACGTTTAACAGTGCATCTGGGCTCCGTCACGTGGACGGTGATGTTCGGCCCTTCAGGCAGGAGCCCTGTGCTGCGGGGCCCGACTGGTCAGAGGCCGTGTCTGAGAAGACTGAGGCTGGACTCACACCACCTCCTCTCTTTCCAATCACATCCCTCGGAGCCCGGCTCCCAGCACCACTCAACAACCTCCTCCACGGCAACTCAAGAAAGAATTAGGCTTTATGAAATACTTCTGCTCAAACATCGCTTCCAAAATCTTTTGGGTAATGCAAACCTTTAACTTACATTCAGTTAAATGATGGTTAATCAGTAAATATTGAGACCATTTCTCAATAAGATAAAACACTGAGATTTCTAAACCTAAGTTTAAATTATCTACTTTGGGCTTATTAAAGAGAGACTAAAGATATTTGAGTCTGTTAGTAAATATGTTCTTTTGTCACGTTGAAAATAAGTTGCACTAGGAGCTGTAGGGAGGAAAGGGTTAATAATCTGTAGCATTCTAGAGTAAGCTACTTTGAGACAACAAAAGTTGAAAAGGTTGCTGGGTGATGTCACCTGTCCAAGATGGTCATCCAGCCTTCTTTTTCGCCCCAGATGGCATTAGTGGTAAAGAACCCACCTGCCAATGCAGGAGATGCAAGAGATGTGGGTTCAACCCCTGGATCAGGAAGATCCCTCTGGAGGAGGGTATGGCAGTCCACCCCAGTGTTCTTGCCTGGAGAATCCCATGGATAGAGGAGCATGGTGGGCTACAGTCTGTGAGGTCGCAACGAGTCAAACACGACTGAAGCTACTTACCACAGACCACCAGGAGGGAGCATGTGCCCCTAGAAATGATGGCTTGATACGTAAATTTGCTCATTTACTACAGAAAGCTGTATGTGACAAGACAGTTCACAATTGCTTACCTTCCAACTTTCACAAGATAGTAATTACTAAGAGTTAAGAATTCTAGTCTTATATGTAAATGAAACTACTGGAAATAAAAACAATAAAGAAAAAAACTCGATACAAAGTATGCAAGGAAAGCAAGATGTGATTTTTGGTTTAAAAAAAAGGTTTAAGGTATAAGTATGCATTTTTGTAAAGGGAAAAGGAAAATAATTTTGTTCTTGTTTAGAGATTATTTAATTGTTGCTTCAATTATTTTTTAAGGAGAATAAAGAAAAAATAGGTATTAAAAATTACAGAACAGAAAGAGAGAGAGAAAATCTTATCAATACATTGTGTGGTCAAGCTGGTTAAAATTAAATTTATTAAAAGGTTTTTTTAAAAAAATCTTTAATATCAACAGTGTGCTATGCAAAACTAGACTTCAATATTCTGTGTTAAGAGAACAAGGTTTTCTTGTTTATCACAGAAGATTTTACTTTACCTGTTGAATAATATGCTGAGAAAACAAAGATTCTGTACTTACCAAAATAATTTCCTATACTTCATGCTGTCTTAATCAGGTCTTCGATTACTTCAGAAAACTGAGTCTTCTCAATATTGAAAGAAGTCTTTTTATAACTTTCTGTCTTTATACCATGTCTTTGAAATCTTTTGTTACTTTGGTTAAAGAGATAACTAAGTATCATTTCACGTTACATGTGATCACATTGAATCAAGTATCTTAAACCTGTTGACATATTTGAGAACTTCCCCAAGTCAGGGTTTTTTTTCTTTTTTCTTTTTTTAATGTGGACCACTGGATTGAATTTGTTACAATATTACTGCTGCTTTATGTTCTGGTTTTCTGACCACTAGGTTGGGGCTGTGGGATCCCCAACCAGGGATTGAACCTTTACCCCCTGCACTGGAAGGCAAAGTCTTAACCACTTCACCACTGAAGAAGTCCCCAAAGTCAGGTTTTAAAAGAAGTCTTTTTGACTTAGAAACAACTTTGGGAATTTTTTCCCAGAGGGCCCCCAGAAAATATCAAAGATTTATGCTCTCTCCATATAAAAATAGTGATATAAAACTAATTAGGCTTATTTGATATATTAAATTACATGAGAAGCATTGTAAAGTAAAAGTGATTTTAATTTTAACCTTCTTTAGTTTATATCTGTATTGGTATATGTAACTAGTATATGTGTTCCAAAAACTGCATACAAATTCCAAGGAGTTTCTCAATATCCTTACTGTCCATAGAATCCACCATAATACCAATTTTTATCTTTGAAAGTCATATGCCTTAGAAATAACCAAATTTCCTTGTCCACTGACTAATTTTTAAAAATGAGCTCTTACCATATTTGTGACCATGGCTATTGCAAGTCTTTTGTCATTCACAGTGAGTTACTGTTTTATCCTGATTCTTCTCTGAAAACATTGATTATAATTAGCTACAGGCAAGAATGCTGCATGATGACATCACCTGAGTAACTTGGCTCTTTTGTGGGAAGAAAATAGGAGCATGGAGAAGTGCGCTGTTGAAAGTCTAGTTCTCTCCACCTGCCTGGGCCTGGCATACACACCTCGGTCCCAGCCTCCTCTGAGGGGAGCTGATTCCAGGCACTGAATGAAATGCTTGAAAATAATGATGGAAAAAAGTGTTTAACCATCTATTGGAATGCATAGCTGCCCAAGGGCTTCCCAGGTGGCACAGGTGGTAAAGAACCTGTCTACTGATGCAGGAAATGTAAGAGACTCAGGTTCAATCCCTGGGTTGGGAAGATTCCCTGGAGGAGGGCATGGCAACCCACTCCAGTATTTTTGCCTGGAGAATCCCCATGGACAGAGGAGCCTGGAGGGCTACAGTCCATAGGGTCGCAAAGAGTTGAAGCAATTTAGCACAGTCACCCAAAAAATATCGATAAAATACTTTCAGATGGCGCATTGCTCAGGCCGAGACAGAGGGCCTGAGGACACATCTAAGTTAAGTGCAGGCGGGGATCAGCTGCTTCACCTGGCTCAGCGGTGGGGTGTACACTCTGTCTGACCCCGAGCGGTGGAGGGTCTACTCACCATTCTTCCTAGTTGGGGTGCACTGGGCGGCAGTTCAGAGGACCTCAGCCATACCCCCGAACCTCAGAGGAAAGTGCAAGAGGAGGTCTCACCAAGGCCCCCAGCTGGTCACATTAAATATCCCCCCACCCCCTAAAAAATGTGTTGGATGGCATCCTCTCCCCTCCCCGAGAGGGAGCACAAGGCTGAAATAGTGGGCCTATTCACACTCGGAAAACAAAGATGCTTGAGAGAGATTCATTCAGTTTGGTATCGGAGGAAGGAACAATGCGTGCACAGACAGGGGATGAGCTAGTGGCCGGGAAGTCATCTGACGTTACTGAGGCCATCGCAGCCGGTTCAGGTCATCTGTGACAGCACAGGCCTTTGCTGGGCGCATGCGGAGGGTGTCACCTTGAAGACAGAGCAGGGGCACCCACCCGAGGTTGGCAGACTGGAGGGAGGCACCGAGATCATGCCCTGTCACCTTTGGTAGGGCTGGTTCTGCCCCCCGGGGTGGACTGGGGGTGGGGAGTCTGTGCCTGGCCTCACATGGCTCCCAGGAGCCGCAGGCACCTGCCGGGTGAGTTCCTTGATTTGCAGACACATCACGCGGCCTCTGCCTTCACCATCACATTGCCCTCTCCCTGGGCGCACCGCTGTCCAAACGCCCCCCTGCATAAAGACTCCAGTCACACTGGGCAAGGGCCACCCTCTAACACACGGACTTTGAGGGGACGTGGTTCAATCCCAACAGGCTGTGAGTTGGTCGCCCCCCCGGGGGGTCAGCCCTGGTCTCTCCCACAGGAACGATCGCAGCTGTGGGGCCGCGTCCATCCACCTGACTCCGCGTCCACACTGTCCCCTCCCGGCTATTTGGCCTAGGCCGTCTGCGGTCCCGAGGATCTCCAGCTCCTCCTCGACGACGGTCCCTTTCGACTTGCGCACTGAGCCGGCCTCTTCTGGGAGGCTCAGGGAACTCAGGTCAGAGGAGCCTGGCACACACTTGTCCACTTTGGGGCCCTCCTCTTATGATGTGGGCTAACAGGTTCTGCTAAATGGAGCTGAGGCCTGATGGTGAGCTTGAACCCGAAAGCAACAGACGGCTCTGGGCTCCGCCCTGAGCCGGAGACTGCGCCTGGTCTCATTCTGACGTGGAATGGCGGGAGGGGAAAGGTGGGCGGGTGGGGAGAACGTCCTGACCGCCACCCCCTATCCCCCCAAAGCCTCGGAGGCTGATGGCACAGTCCTCTCTGAAAAGGGAATGCCGCTCCGAGGCCTTCCTCTAATGCTACATATTCGGTTCCTCTGTGTGCTCGGGACAGCGCTCACACGGCCGACCCACGCGCCCGACCCCGTGTCTCTTCTCCTGCAGCCAGTTTCACACGGACACGCGGCTGCGTGGAGTGAGGTGCGCGGGCACTCATTCCTCCGGAGGCTCCACTTTTACTGTTAATTCTGGCAACACAGACTGAGACCAAATAACCCTCCGGCTCAGGTTTAGATTTTGAAGGATTTTAATACAGAGATGGAATATCGTAATGGTAAAGGTCTTGAGAACAGGACAGGATGTGCCCGAGACAGCACGGATCGGGAAGGCTGCCCTCGAGGCCCCAGGCCTGGGACGGGATGCTCCGAGCGGGCACGACCATGACTTGGGGACAGAGGCAGGGCCAGGAGACCCCGAACCCCGCTTCAGCCCTTGTGGACGCCATCCAGCACTTTGTACCGAGGAATGCGTGCCATCTTCTGGAGACCAACTCACGCTGACCACCAGGGGGCAGTCAGCTCATCCAGGGTCGCTGACAGGCCCCGGGCCTGACTGCTTATCCATCCTGAGACGGGGCGGGGGCGCTTTCACGTCCGCGCTGGAAGTCTGCAGAATCTGACAGAGGGGAGGAGCGGCGGGCGGTCCCGAGACGCGGGGGAGCGCGCGGGGGCAGTGGGGCGGCGCTCAGTCCTTCAGCTGGGACACTTCATATAGGTACGCGGCCAGCATCTTGGTCCCCTCGATGTAGTTGGACCTGGCCGGGAGAACGGGGGTCAGTGGCGGGCGCCCGAGCTCTGGGCCCACGCGCGCGTTCCTTTTGGGAGTGGATGCCCGGCGCCCTGGCTTGCTGGTCCCGAATGCTCCAGCCCAGTTGGTTCTCAAGCCCAGCCCAGCACGCCATCGGGACCAGCCCTGATCCTGGCCTCCTGGACTACGGGCTACCCCGGGCCTCAGTGCATCGCCTCTCCGCGACCACAGGCCCCCCTTGTGTCTGGGCCGAGGTCTCCACCTTGCGTCCTAACACCCAGGGCTCTGGCCTTCCCCCAGCCCTCCTGCAGGGTCTGTCTTTGCTCTCAGCAGCCCCCTGCGCTGCAGGGAGCCCCTCTTTTCCGTGCTCACCGGTTGAGCTTCTCGTTCTGGGAGTGCGCTCCGTCGTCTGCCGAGCCCACCGGCAGCAGCATGACGTTCTTGCCCGTGGCCTCCTGGAACGTCAGCGTCACCGGGATGCTGCCGCCTTCCCTGGTCAAGTCTGGCTCGACACCAAACACTGAGGAGGACGGAACAAAAGAGACGGAGGTTTAGGGGCCCTCCACACACCCACTGCCCGGCAACCCCGAGCCCAGGCCCGCTGCAAGGGCTCTGCTCCCAGGGTGGGAGGCGGCATGGCCCAGCCCGTCTCCGGGGGTGCATCCCACCTGTCTTCAGGGCTTTCCTCCCAGCCAGGTAGTGAGGGTGGTTGAAGTCGGACACCCAGGGCTTCCCGCCATGGCTCATGTACACCTTGAACTTGTTGGGACTGTGAAGCTCAGCAAACTTCTTGGTCAAGTAGCTCGTAACCTGAACCAGAGACAGGAAGGACAATGTCTCACAAGCCTGACCTCTCTGGTCCAGGGCTGGGGATCCACTCCGAGACAAGTCTCCGGTGGGCGGGTCTACCCTGGTCTATGAGGGGACTCCACAGGGTCTGTGAGGGTCTACCCTGGATCTATGAGGGGGCTCCATGGGGTCTATACGAAGTCTATGAGAGGTCTTTACTGGGTCTATGAGGGGTCTACACTGGGTCTATGAGGGGTCTACACGGGGTCTATGCGAGTCTACAGTAGGTCTATGAGGGATCTACACTGGGCCTATGAGGGGTCTATACTGGGCCTATGAGGGTCTACACTGGGTCTATGGGTCTACCCGGGGTCTACAGTGAGTCTGTGGGTGAACACTGGGTCTCATCCTCATCTCCTTCCCCGGTCCTCTCCCCTCTGGACCCCCCCCCCCCCC